GGCCCGCCCCGCCCCGCCCCGCCCCGCCCGGCCTGCGGCGTTCGGTGGACTTCTCCCACTTTCTCTGCCAGTGTGTGACGAGCAAGGCGCCAGGAGGGGTCTATTGCGCAAGCTCAGGGTGCTGCGCTGGGAGTACCGGAGACGACCCGGCAGCACTCACGAGACTATGAGGCGCGACATTCGGCGGGCTCCTTCCCGGAAGCGGAAGCTCGGGGGGCGGGCCAAGGGGATCCGGGAGTCCACGGCGGTTAGTTTCTTTTATCGTTTGGCTTTACTTCCCTCCGTCTGGGCTTTTCTGAGGCTGCGAGAGATGGTCAGGTCCGGATCTCGATCGGGCCAGGTGAGGGCTGCGGACCTGAAGCGTCCACTATGGGGGTATAGAGGGACTGAGGGGGCAAGGGCCAGGAGAAGTGCAAAACTCTGAAAAAAATAAAAGCAAAGACAATGTGGCGGCGTTAAAAATGCTGGGAGAGGGGAGTTGGGGGGACACCCAATGTTAACATCCTAACACAGCCGCACTGTATGTTCTGTTTTAATTGTAGTCTTCCAGAGCGTTGGCTTTGGTGTAGGGCGCCGGTTCGAGGCCAGCCTCCGTCGTGGGTAGGGTGACTTAACCTCTCCAACGCTCAGTATATTGTTGCATCAAATACAGTTTCTTGGCTTTTCCACCAAGTGTTGCTATTAGCTGGTCTTCCGTCACAATTACTGGTATTTTACAACTACTTGTAAAAACTAAAGTCTCCCAGTTAGTGCCCCCACCGACAGCCTTACCCATTCCAAAAGCACCCCCTCGTTGTCACTAAATGATTTATTTTCTGCTTTAAAATCTACACAAATCCTCTTTCAAGGTAAAATCTCAGTTATTTGGCCTGTCAACACAGCTATTTTTTGATTCCCCTAGTGCATTCCTTACCAGACCCGTCCCCACTCCAAGTGTATCCAGAACTGTTCACTGATATGTTCTTCAGTGTCCTGGATGCCCCATGCCCTCTCATGCTTCCATGTCTTTGCACTTCCCTTTCTGTACTGCCTGGAATGCACCTCTGTTCCTGGTACCTCCACTTTCTATCTTTTCCCTCAGCTCAGGAGCCACTCAAGAGCCTTCCCTACCCCTCTCACTTTCCCATTGTTTGGGTGCTCCTTGCTTCCCCCTTTTGTGCTTTGTGCTGACCATTATTAAACTGCTTTTCATACTAGGGACCTTCCTAATCTATATACCTCCCTTACTGCACAATTTATCTCTATATCCTCAAGGCCTGGGATAGCACATAGCATATAGTAGATTTCTAGGTAATGAATCAACTATTTCTCACACAGACTCACTACCTGGAGTGATCTTATCCTCTTTAATATATCCACGTCTCTCATTCTCTCACTTGATATCAACTCACCTATGATACTGTCTTCCCCATTAATATTAATCTTAATGCTTTTTAAAAAAATACCTGGCTCAGACTTTCTTCATGAGTACTTCCTGAGCATCCTCACCCTTATAGATCTTTCTCTTACATTGAATGAACTCAGAATACGTGCAGTCAGCAAGGGGGAAAACGTGGTTTTTGTAATCATGGTCACCTTCAAGATTCACATTCCAATTCTGCCATTACTATGGTAGTGATATTAAGCAAAGTGCTTTCTACTTCTCTGAGCCTCCTTTCCCTTAGCCATAAAGTAGTTGTAAATAGGTATAAAATCCTGCCTCAAAGAATTGGGGAGAATTACATGAGAGAACCTGGTAAAACATCTATCTCACTCTTGGCATAAATGTGCAACAAAATTTGGTCCCCTTAAAAACAGTTTACAACCATCTTGATGGTAAGAATAGCTAACACTGGGGTGCCTGGGTGGCTCAGTAGTTAAGTGTCCGACTTTGGCTCAGGTCATGAACTCGTGGTCTGTGAGTTCAAGCCCCACATCGGCTCTGTGCTGACAGCTGAGTCTGGAGACTCCTTCGAATTCTGTGTGTGTCTCTCTCTCTGCCCCTCCCCTGCTCATGCTGTATCTCTCTCTGTCTCTCAAAAATAAATAAACGTGGGGCGCCTGGGTGGCGCAGTCGGTTAAGCGTCCGACTTCAGCCAGGTCACGATCTCGCGGTCTGTGAGTTCGAGCCCTGCGTCAGGCTCTGGGCTGATGGCTCGGAGCCTGGAGCCTGTTTCTGATTCTGTGTCTCCCTCTCTCTCTGCCCCTCCCCCATTCATGCTCTGTCTCTCTGTCCCAAAAATAAATAAATGTTGGAAAAAAAAAA